TAGACGACACACAGGCTGAAACGGGGTGAAACTGGGACCAAACTGTTCTCTGGGGCTAAAGAACAGAGCAAAAAGAAGCCCATGTACACCACTGTAATTCAGAAAGTGTGCATCATTGCACTGATGTATAAATACCATGATATGAGTGCGGGAATGCAGGAAAGCCCAGGTGGCATATGGAAGCAGTCTGGAGCATGAACCCTGGGACCGATGAGATGCAGCCACTGGTGCCATTGCTTGCCATACCGTTTTTGTTTGAGCATACAGGTGCATGAGTGGCCAGCTGCACTATTGATCCATCGAAGCATTGAGCTGTCACACACCCCATGATGTGAAAGTACGAAAAACATGGCAGGTTGTCAGTAGTGCAATGGATGTAATTAAAACATCCAAACCAAACAGTACAACAGGAGGGCATAGTATGAAGGTGGGTAAGTGAGCATGTATGTGTTTTGCCAATGATCGTGCTTTGCCAGTTTGTCACTGGGTGCACCAATGCACTGTGTGGATGGTGTATCTCCCGTGCGACTGTGTGGCCGACTGGTTTGGGGGAAAAACAGGATTGGCATGGTATTTCCTCTCTGTCTGCTCAGATCCTGAGTTGAGCTTTCAAAAACTACAAGAACTGAGGCTTTGTGGATGAATAAAATGAATTTTAATCATTACATAATACATAGATGATTGCCCCGTCTTACATATGTATGACACAGGTGATGGGAATTCATTCAGCTATTTCTCCTTTGTGCTCTGATACCCTGATTTTCTTTCTTTTCTTTGTTGATTTCCCCCTCATGTAGCACTTTTGCAAAGATGCAGAGAAAGTGGATGACAACTATATTGGAGCTGAAAGAAGGATGTGCAGTTTTTTTAAAAAAGTAGCTAAGTGTGATTGATTCAGTGGTGGTGATGTGCAACAATTTTTATAGGAAAGAATAAATGGAAGGTTTGAAATCAAAAGGCTACCTTTTAAGGATCCCCTCTTTTTATTCAGCAATTTTTAATAGAAAAAAAGAAGAAGAAAGATGCATTAATGATGGATTTTCTTTTGAACACTCAGGTGCTCTCCTTGCTAGATTTTAGAAGCAAAATGATGGACTTTTAAATTCTTCTGAGCCTTTTAAACGATTTTAACTTATGTGCTGTTATCTTTGTCTTTATTGCTTTTTACTAATGTATTTTCATTTATTATAAATTACCTATTTTTAATTGTGATATAAAGACAGCCAGCATGGCGTAATGCCTTGAGTGATGGACCAGGACTCCAGAACAGCAGGGTTTGACTTACCGCTCAGCCATAGAAAATCCACTGGGTGGCCTGGGCAGGTTACACTCTTCCTAGAGGAAGGCAATGGAAAACCTTCTCTAAATTTTGCCAAAAAAACAGTATGATAGAATCACCCTAAATTGGAGTCAGTTAGAAGGCATATAGCAATAGCAATTACAAATAAATAAAAGCTTCTATTTGTTCAATTCCTAATTTCTCAAACATCACTAGAATCAAAAAATACTGAACTGTGATAAGTAAATTAAGTTTTTCATTAATTTAAAAAGGAGGTGGAAGCAGTATTAATTTCACCAATCTTCAGTAGGTATCAAACTGATACTGACATATGTATTTCTTCTTCATAATAGAGACATCTATCCCAATAATGTAATTTTGGATTCTGCAAGTCATGCTAGCATAGCAAGTTCCAAAATAAATTTTCCAGATAAATATATGAAAGTTACCTCATCACTAGATGACCTGTCATTCTGGTTGTCAAGGTATTTATTGCAGTGTTCTCCCCAAGTAAGTGAGATAGAATTCAATAAAGGGAAAAGGAAGTTAATCTCTACCAGAGCACTTTGATAAATGAAAAATAATATCAAAGATCTTGCCATCTCTTTTCTTTTGCTTCTGGGATTTTAAGCTATTTTAACTTCATTTCAACCACCTATTCACAATAGAAACTAGCAGATATTATAGAACCCAGTTACAATTCAAAGGATCTATTTGAGGTTTCTAATCAGAGTGCTATATGAATTGCACCTATTATTGTCTTTCCCCCCAAAATTGCCTCAACATAAAGGATTAATTGTATCAAACACTTCTATTTTCAGTATGATAGATTTTCAGCGGATTATAACCAATATCTACATTGTTTCATAAACATATTTTAGAGGAGCTTAGATGGGTAGCCACACTATTGTCTGCAGTGTTCAAAGACTAGTGTGTTGTACTGCCACAATTGCAGAAATTGTGAGATTTATGTGTCCTTTCCAGTTGTGCAACTATAATTGTTTGTAGGCTATTACTGGTGTTTATCTGTAGGGAAACAGCAGTATGGTCCAGCCCTTTGATTCATTATTTAACATTTGCAAAGGCAATTAAGGCTGTATATTAAAATGTAGTGGTGTCAATGGCATATGTTCAGAATATAAGAGATACATTTTTATTTTCTCCTTGTACTCATAGTTTCTAATTTTCATATGGTTAAAAAAAAGAAGTAAGTTATATAGTATGTCAGAGTATTCCTGAAGGAGGAAGTTGGTGTCAGTTACGATTAATGTGGTCAGATTTAGTAGCCCTCGAGATGTGACCCTTGGTACAGTAAATGTGACAGAATGCATTATTTTCAATTATGATAAATTTCATTCTGTGACATCACTTACGACACACCTTACTGTAGAAGCATGATGCTTTCAACAATTCTAGCTTTAAAAATAAATGATGCTAGGAATTGAAATGACCATTTCACAAGCAAAGCAACTGAATTTGCAGTGGCACATTTAATGTTTCACGTTGCACATGGGTTTACTGCATCTGTTTCCTGAGTCTCCCCAGGGACATTTTATTTTATGTTTAAAAATGAGATTATGAGCATCTTCCATTGCTGACGCAAAGTATTTAAAACAACAAAAAGTAAGACTTGAAGGCTTCTTTTCCTTTGAAACCTTACATTAGATCTATGCCTGCTGGAATCAACGTTTTTTAACAAGACGTTTGGAGATAATTTATTAGTTTTTCTTTTGTTATCACATTGCTTCTTGGTAGTTGACTCAGATTTTGAGGAGATGGACAGGATTCCCAGTCTTCCAGCTTCACTTGTGATATTAACTAGATATTATGTATTCACTATTGGAAGTCTTTATTGCTGATATGCATCCTTACTGTACTTCCATTTTGTTCCATTAGAAAGCAGCATAAACAAGCACTTACATAAGGCTGAGCTGTTCTTTTGGAACCTGCCTTTATACTCACACAGTGATTTCTTTGACATGTAGTGCAATTCATTTTAACAAGAGCTATATGAGGATCTTGCATGTTGTCACTTCTGTAACTATTGTAGAATTACTAGCTGAATATCCTGAAAAAAGGAAAAGTGAAGGATTTGCTTCAGTAATTCAGTGGCTGAGTTTTTATTTAGTTTATGCTGTATCCAGTCTATGGGTTTCTGCCAGTGTTTACAGATTCAGCCCAGAGCATAGATTTTCTCTGTACATCTTTTCTCATGAGCAAATTAATTACATAAAGGGATCTGTGTTGCTCTTTTTCCTGTCTGCTCTGGATTATGAACTGCCTTAAATTCTGAGGCACAGATCAAGCCTTACTCTTGGCAATCTTCTTCTGGTTTAAACAATTAACATTCACTAGGTTTTAGGGCAAAATGACTGTTTTAAACTTGCATGGGTGTCGTTTTTTAAATGTCAAATATTGGGATTGGAGATGGTAGGGTGTCAGGGGAGGGGAGTTAAATTGTCTCAACAACATGCATGGCAACAAACTTCTCTCCCAAAAGTTTGATTCAGGGAAGATTGTCTTGGTGGCAATGGGAGCTTCCGTCTAAAGGCAAATAGTAAAATCTTAAGCTCCTCAATCCCAATTCTGGAGATTGATTGCGGTAGCTGAAAATTGGCAGTTAGAAATACATGTGATATACTTGACTTCAACCTGAAAGTTGTAGTTTGGCCCTTAAGTGTAGTTTCCTCCCTGGAAGTATACAAATTTACAGCTCAGCCTAAAGCTGAAAATTCAGTTACCGTATGTTCATCAGTTTGCAGCCTGAGGTTTTAGAAGTACTTCTTCACACAGCATATAGTTAAAACTGTGGAATTCACATCTGTAGCGATTAAGGTCCCAGGATCTCAAAGCCTGCTCCTTTTCTCCAGTTTTCAGGTGATGGGAAGGAATCTCAGGCTGAGAACACTGCTATGTGAAGTGTGTGTGTTCCTCATTTGTTCATCTTGGTTGTGGTTTTTTTTTTTTTTTTATTGAATGCTATACTTTTTACATCTTTGTTTAGTGCTTAATGGTTCATGCTTTGTAACATCACCATTGCCTGTCCTCTGTGACATGACATGACATCATCCCTAAGTCTCAGTTTTTGGCCCTGAAATCTCAGAGCTTAGGGTACTCTTGATCAGGCAACACTAATAGTGATGGCCGCCAACTTGTATGGTTTTAATAGGAGACTGGATCAGGATATCTCTATGTCACTTTCCATATCAGAGGCCATATCTGTGTACCAGTTGCTGGGGAATGAGAAGGTGGAAGGTGCGCATACGTGGCTGGCAGGTTTCCCATAGGCAGTGGAGGTCACTGTGTGAACAGATAGACTTCTTACATTCTTATTGCATTGCACGATCCACAATCCACATGTGTAGACTTAGGGCTTCACACTTTCCCCCTGGCTGAATCCATGCTTCTCAAACAGTATTTATTAATAATTATTGTACCTATGTTTGCTTGTATAAATACACAGAGTTATAAGCCAGAGAATTCTGTTTTATCATGAATGAACTGTGTGCTGGCCAGTAGCTTGTTCTCTCTGGCTGAGAATCCTAATTACTCTCCATTGTTGTTGTTGTTGTGTGCCTTCAAGCCATTTCCAACTTATGGCAACCCTAAGACAAGTGTATCATGGGGCTTTCTCAGCAAGATTTGTTTAGAGGAGGTCTGCCATTGCCTTCCCCTGAAGCAGGGAGCATGCAACTTGCCCAAGATCACTGAGTGGGTTTCATGGCTGAGTAGGAAATCGAACCCTGGTCTTTAGAGTTGCAGTCTAACAATCAAACCACTACACCATTCCTGACCTGCAAATCACAGGATTCCATTGGATGGAACCATGGCTATTACGGTGGAATCATAGTGGTGTATTTGTGTAGTGTGAAAGGATTAGAACACGATCAAAGCTGTGGCTCAAGCAAAAAGATAGGTGCTGGACATAATTGAAGGCAGAGAGTTCTGTTTACTTTGGCGTACTGGCAGTTGTTGAGTATTCTAGTTACAATCTGATTTAAAAAGAGGGTGGAAGTGTCTTCCTCTACCAGAGGCTGATTAAAAGGAGCAGCATTTGGGGTGGGAGTTTGAAGGCAAAATAAAAATTTAAAGTGGGGCTTACTGGGGATGACTTCTCTGTGTGGGTCTGCAGTCTTTTTTTTGGGGGGGGGAGATTGACTGATACCTGTGCCCATTTAAATACTTTTTCTAGTGCCAAAACAGTATTGAAGAAATCCTGCTTATGATCAGCTGAATTAATCTGTGCGTTTGGTAGAACTATACTGAAGGTATTTACATTTTATGATAAAAAAACATAAGTGGCCTACAGATAAAAAACATCCTTTTTATCTAACTCCCCATTTTATTTTTCTCCACTCTTGTTAATGACAATTTAGCTTCTCTATCATGCGTTCTATATACACCAGACTCTAATACCCTGTTTACTTAGATTGAGTCAACCATCAATAACAACCTGTCTATCAAATATATCCTATCTCTGTCCCTTCCACTGGCATAGCTCTAAGCATCTTTGAATCTCTGCTTCTGGAGGTCAACTCATCTTATTGTGGAGCCTGGCCTGGTACATTCAATATAAGCTAGTTTATCCTCTAATTTGTCTTTTAATTACATAGCCATTTAATTCTAAATAGCTTTATCACATCATTTACCATTTGGAGGAAACAGTTGTTAGAATGTCACTACTTTTCACTGCAGGTCCAATTGTTATGCTTCAGTTTCTAGCTTGAAGCCTTCAGTGGAGAATAAAAAGATGCCCAAGGCAGAAGTCAACCTTTCACTTCTGCTACAAAGGAGATGCCATCCATTTCAAGCTGTGCTAAGTATTCCATTGGAATGCAAGTAACCACAGCCTTCAGCATATCTTAATTTAAGGCTGAGGTGGGGGGGG